CAATCGATCAACGTGCGGATAGTCATGTTGGAACGCTGGTCCGAACAGTAGAAGCTCCTATCGTACAGTGGCCAATGTGACTGGCGGAATTGTCTCGTCCTCGATAGTGATTGCGCTCTGGGGCAAGGACTGAGCAGTACGAAATCGTGACGGAAAGTACATATATTTACAGGATGAAATTTTGTCATTAAAAACAATAGTAGGTAAAATCGAAAAAAAAAGCTACCCTTTATTTCGCTGTTTAGATATACTATACGCTTCCTGGAGAAACAGCCCTCCATTTGGCGCGCTGGGATGAGCGCGAGAAGTTTTCGGGCTCGCCACGGCGTATCTCCGTACACTTAACACCTGCAGCAAGTCGCGGCTTTGACTGCATTCAAGTTGATCGAAAAGCGATTTCTCAGCCCGTGAAGCAGCACTTCCAGCGGAGCGAATATCCGCTCTACAGAGATTAATAGCGAGTTCGTTTCACACGCACTGGCACCGTTCGAGTTCTCTCCCAGAATGCATCTCACTCACAGAGTGTTGCACGGAAAACTGGACTCAAACGAACTCGCCAAATGCACCGAGTGCAGAATACTGATGCTGCCGCCATCTATGTTGTAGAAAAGGTACCGACTTCAAACCGAAACTAGCGCCTTTCTGTTCCGAGTGATGCGTGCATGCAAGAATGCAGTCGCTACCAACGTTTACCTACAAACGTTGGCAACTGCAACCTGTAGTTTATAGTTGCGATGCCTTCAAGCAGCTCAGCTGCCGTAGAGATATTTACAGACGGCGTAAATTTCCGCAACCAAAGCAGCTGGTTGCGATCTTTCAATCCTTATAACCGTTTACACTGAAGAAAACTGATGATGCTGTCCGAGCAGAAGCTTGATCCGTTTGAGCATGGTATTATGCGTGAACCACTGAAAGGGTACGGCTTAAAACTAGCCTGTTGGAATATCCAGCAAAACTGGGACTTTCGATTTGGATCGTCATTATAGGTGGATTAGATATTAGCCTCGGTGAGGGTGTCGAGAACGAGAGCTTTCTCGAACAAAATACGACGGGGCAAGTTCGCTGCGTAGGTAAATGTTAAACATGATGATGTTGCCCAATCCTCGGGTAAAGTCAGCATCTTTAGCTTTCTCTGATGCTTATTGGGCAGTCAGAGGTTTCTGCTGGAGGAGTTTTATCGACAAATGTTAAATTTTTCACCCGCACACGGATGGTGATAAACATCTCGGGGGCCGCTGTTGCGTTGGTTCTGAGCATTTCTTTACACACTGGTATATTTCAGCGTTTGTACGGCAACAGAGCGATTTAAAACCTGCAAATAAATCACTGGTTGTCAATTGCTTCCTTCGTGAAATAGCAGACGCTCACAATTCAAGCTCGCGCTTGATTTCGTCGCCCGCGGGACGCGATTTCTATCAGAAAATCTACTTTTTTTTCCGTTCGGTTCCGCGACACATCGTAGCAGACGAACCCTCGTCGTCTGCTCCCGCTCCTCGCCGGCCCCGCCGGAGCGAGGCATGACGGGATTGCATTTTGGCGCACTCCCGATTTTCTCGGTGCAGCGAGTGCATGCACGCGTGGGGTGTCAGCGCTAAAACGAACTCGGAGAGCGCAACCACTCGTGGAGCGCAACCACTCGTGGAGCGCCGGCCGAAACGAACCCGTTCCACGCTGCGAGTGGGCACGCGGGGGCACGAGTGCCGTGAAACGAACTCGCTATAATTCAAGACAGCAAGTGCAGCTTTGCGCGAACAGCACAAATAAAAAAAAAAAAAACAATAGAAATACAGGCTACGATGTGCCGTGTGGAGAAACAAACTCATGGCTTCGAACCGCATTGGAGCGGCTTGATTTATTGGCTTTCAAATAATAACGGCATGCTCGAGTGTTTACTTTTTAATAAGAAATTCATCCCCTGAGCCATTCAAAATACTCTCAGAGGTATGACATTGCTGGGAAAAAATCAACATGCTGGGAATATGTTTTATTGCTTAGGGAGTCACCGAAAAGTTCCGTACGTTCAAAACGACCAATATAAAAAACGAAAACGCAGAGCACGGGTTTAGTGTTCGGGTTAGTGTGGTGTTCCGTTGTATTGATATTTGTGTGTGCTGTGGATGTGCTCAATGTATGTTCACCTGATGCTTTTAGTAAGCGTAATGTCTGTATAGCAGTGGATCCCCAAGCAAAGTAGTGGCCTGAAAAAGCAAATTATTTTTTTGTAGAACATGAATTGGGTGTTAGTTAGCGCCACCTAGCCTGGCTACTTGCAATTACTTTGCTTGACCCCGCCATCTGGTGGCTAGCGATTTAACCTTCTTTCACGCTACGCGATAAACAGCGGCTTCGAGTTTGTTCTTTCGAGAGCGGCTTTTGGTTTCGCGGATTGAGTATGCCCTTCTCCGTGATGTGCGGTTGACGAAGGAATTGTGACTCGAGGAACACCAAAGGTAAGACGCAAAGTGCGCGAAGTAATTGGGTATCGGTTGTCTCCGTTTAACATCGCAGTGCTGTCGACGAGAAGACCGAGTAACTGCTTTAGAAACGTAAGTTTCTGTACCTGTGGGGGGGAATCTGGCTTCGGAAATAAACACAGTTTCCGGAGAGCTCGTGTTACGCTTTTATTTGCTGCAGCTCTCGTCCCGTGCAAGAGACGTAGCGTCCTCGTCAAGCCTTATTGGGCTCGATTTGCTCGATTCGGGGCCGCCATATTGAGATGCAAGCGACGGAGGAACTTTGCTCCCCTGCTTCAGGGACGAACGTTTCTCCCTTTCTAAAGAAACATAGGTTACAAGACCGTTCCTCCCCTAAGGGAGGACTATCCATACCCTTTTTTCTAAGAGTGTGCTCTCTCTTCTGTCCTTTTGGTCTCTCTTTTGTACAATATTTAAATCCTCCCATTTTTTGTTGAATTAATGTTTAAATTTATTTTGTTTTGTAATCCTTCGGTGGAGTAGGTGGTTTTAATATAATCACTTAAGTGCATCATTTACTAATAGTGATGTGCGCTGAAATTTTGTTGCGGAATAAAGGGGGATGGAGCCCTGTCATGTGACTTAGACCTTCCCCTGATCCAGTCTCTCAGACAGGAGTGTCTAAATAAAGAGTCAATGTATCATTCATTATTTATTTCAGCTACAGTTTGAAATATATGCATTGAACATTTTAATTTCGATTCATGCTGATACAGAACGGGGGCTTTAAAGCTCAGATATGTCTTTGGAATACACATTGTATCATTGTTCATATTAACTGCACGTTTGGTTGTACCCTAACGCTCACCACACAAAGTGTTGGCAGAGGTTGATGTATCAATTTACGGTGAGTCATCTTAAATTTTAGGACAGCTCTAAGCATTCCGTGTTTGCACTCTTCACACTGAGAGCGGAGACTATCAGTAACTATATGCCTTGGCCAGCTGAAGCCAAAGGCACTTTTCACGCGTGACTGATCTTTTTTGTGAAAATAAGTTCTCGCAAAATTTAGCTGTAAATAAACAAACAAAAATATATTGTGACGAAAATAATTCCTGGAGCAGGTGAACAAGAGGGTCAAAGGACAAACAAAATCCTTTGCAATATACTGTAGGCTTTGCCATATGTCCTAATGGTTATGGGAAAAGACAAGCGCCGAAAAAACTAGGACAATGTAAGGAAACGACGACACAAGGCGCACTCGCAACTGAAGTGGGTGCACACCAGTTTTCAATGACATGGGAATCCTGGGGCGATACAGCAAAAAGATTACAAGGAAAATTCATGAGGCGTATGCAATAAGGAAGGGTGCAGAAACATGCATAAGCAAACCTTCCGTGACTCTGTCAAATAAAGGGCGTTTATTCTTAGATAAAGAGTGGGCACGCGGAATGTGACGTGGGGTGTATTAAAGTGCATATAAGACTATGTTTTTCCAGAAATAAAACTTCAGTTGCGAGCGCGCCTTGTGTTGTCGTCTCATTACCTTGTCCAAGTTTTTTCGGCGCTTGTCTGTTCCCATAATAAACCAACTGGCCCGACTCACCATGGTGTTCCTAATGGTTAACCTGAATATCAAATAGTAGTGTCTTAATTTAGAACATTAAAGGGCGATGGTAACAACAGCTGCAGAGTCCCGATATTCCTTAAAGCCATTCTCGATATGCAAGGAATTGTGTGATTATTTTAGAACGTGTTTTGTAGTTTGAGCAGATGCTTAACTGTCCGCCTTCCTAAAGTTCCCCGAGTGCAAACAATGACGCGCTTTAGGCGAATGTTGAAGTCCAGAATACGTCCGCATGTCCTCATTATACACTGTTTCAGGCGAACTGTGGAGGCTGCGTTCTTCAGGAATGAATAACAGTGTCGGGCGAAGGCACGTGACGAGTCCATGATCAACTGAAACGCTCGCGTGACGTGTGGTCGCGCGCTTCATTTTTGTCGATTTTATTGAGTCACGGGCGCCGTAGCTTCCACAGTTCAGCTAGTTATGGGGAAACGGAGTATATCTCGGCAGCGCATCCTTGTTGAGTGCCCTGACGACACAAGTGACAATGTGACCTAAACTACTGCGTCACTCTTACAAGCATTAGTGTGGGCAGAGCTTTGTGCGCTCCTTTGACCCGGATTTTCTTAAATGATCCATAAACCACGAAAATGTATCAATTGATATCTAAAAGACCATTACCTTTTTGCATTTTGTTTTTGTAAATTGGTTTGACAGCTAAACGTAATGGCAATGAACACTGCATTTCTATTGTGATCCCTAAAACAAACAACAAAATTGTTAATCAACAAATTCTAGTTAATTATTCAACTTAGCATGATGATTATACTTCGTTTATTGTCCTCCCAGTCTGATGAAAACATGGTAAAGACGGCGCTCTTCTAACTCACGACATCTTTAAAACCTGTTCGACATAAAATCAAACACCCTGCATATCAATGTATCGCCAGAGTTTGTTTTTATTTAAATAAGGGAATTTCTTTATGACTAACGTTTATTTCTACGTTCAAACCTTTTAGGAGCTACAGATACAGAGAACCGACCAAGTATGAAAGTGGGTGTAACCATTCTCTGCGACACGTCGTTTCTGACTTCGAGGATGAAAGAGCCTGCTCCAAAGTCTTCCGTTTTAAGATATCTAAACGTGATGTTGCACGCGGTATGTACCATGTTATATTTTTTAATCAGCAAATACTATGACGCAGGCCGGCTTAAAAATAAAAGAAGCAACATTGGCTGAAACATGACGGGAATAAGTTTGATCATCGATGCGGGAATCAGTATCTGAAAGACTCAACTGAAGCCATAAAAGTATTAGAAAGTCGCGAAGTAAATTATCTGAATGTATATACAATCAAGACACCCCACCGCATTCCTCCAAGCGCAAGAGATTGTGTTATTATTAAATTACTCGATTCTTTTATCGGGAGATAACCTCCACGGCAATTAATTTAGCCACCGAAGAAATTTCGTCGGAAGTTGATGGAATTGTATTGATATATATAAAGTTATGAGGTATTACTTGTTATAGTGAGCTAGAAAAAATAGCATAGAATAAGGGGCGGACTTGACTAAAGGCAAAGCATGCAGCTGCCAAGGGTAACGCTAGTTTGGGGGAGCCAAATTTTGGAGGTTGGTTAGAGTTACGCCCACCTTTTCAGCCTTTGTCACACTAGTACTTCTATTGAATGAGGACTTCATTACAGATATGTGTCATATAACACCACTTTCTGGTACTCAGAATTTATGCGAGCTTCACAGATATCTTTCTGTTAGCCTCAAAGTACCATTTGGCTTTCAATGAATGAATTGAACATACTAAAAACTGTACTTCCAGTTTAAAATAAGATGTATCAAAGGTGTACCCGTGCGGTTTTGAAATACGCCTGGGAAAATCACATATTTTTCAGAGTAAACTCCGACCACAGTCGCGTATCCGACATAAGTAAAATTGCTCAGGACCTTTTAGCAACTGCTTAAAACGGCAAAATGCTAAGTCCGCTTTGGTCTAGAATCGTAGCGTTCGTCCGATAGGAGGTTTTAAACATATTTATTGAGAGAGAGAGAGAGAGAGGGGTGTGTTTAAAAGTTTGTTCTTTTATTGTTCTAAATATGGTGTCAAGAGGTCTATTTTAGAGAAACGGGGACTGGGGAGTTATCTCAGGAAAGGTGAAAACTAGTCGTCTTTTCCACTGTCCCTTAATATTCCGTCCTCACTTCACAGCAAAATAATCAAATGTTTCTGATGATGATAGTCATTTCTAGGATGAGGCTGCATTTTATTAATATTTTTCCACACCGCGCTCTTGTTATTTATAGAAGGTACCTCCGCAGATTGCAATCAATCTTCAGAGGAGGGAACATATACATACATTGTGTCAAAAACGTTTCAGTGAATATTATTCCGCAACGTTTATTAATAGAGAATTTTTGTTATCGACTTTAGACCAAAAAAAAATCTTGGCACATCGCTGGGCACGGGTGACAACAATAACAAATAATAGGGAGTTTTAGAATAGCGCACGCTAAAGCTTTGCTTACGCAATGAAAAGCGCCGTCGGCACTGCGCACGCTCCGAACGCAAACCAGGTTTTGCGCTTTGTGAGTGCAATTTTAGCGTGCGCTATTTGTCGGAAATAGCGTGCGTACGCAAAAAGTCCTTGCGCTTCTCCAAGGAGTATTCGGGATGTAAAGTTGGCTGAAGCCAAGACGAGCAGAGTTAAAAGAATGGCGGCTTCGAGGATTATGTCGGCGGCTGTTTAAACGGCGTCGTGAGTGCGACGTCGGCGGCGTCCCCGCGACTGCAATTTTCAATACGGGACGACGTTGTACTCAGTTTGGCGACGATCACCGGAAACTTGATGCTGGCAACGCGCGAACATTTGCCGGCGGAGGTACGATGTGCTAAGGTCAGTACACGAGACCTCTCTTGCCGAGGCGACGGAAGCGGACACGACCGGTCAACCGCTCGCGTCGCAATCTCATGTTTAAACAAATCTAAAATGGTACTCTGGACCAAAAAACTTGCTTTTTTTAAGGTTACAGCATTTCGTGTGTGAAATAAAAATTGTGACTGTATCTTGATGGCGTCGCAAGCGCGAGATGCTCGGGCTTTTGCGTCGCGACGGAGAAACGCTATTCTAAAACTCTCTCGCGTTGCCTGCGCTAATACAAACGCTAAGTTCAGCGCTAGCGTGCGCTAAAATTGTGTACGTTATTCTAGAACTCCCTAATAAACCATGCCGTAAAGTCTGGAAACATGCTTTTTTTTTAATTTAGTAAGGGGGTGACAGTAAGAACCAGCTCACTTGGTACACCTTCGAAAATTCAAGCTCCAAACGTACATACCTATGATTGGGTTCGCGATTCCTGTGCAAAAATCAAAGGTGGTAAGATTTATGAAGGTTGCGAAATCCGCGATCGTGATTTCTATGTTCTATACTGTCTGTTCAACGTAGGCACATTGGTTTGCGAGCCCAATCATGGGTGGTGTGCTGAAAACAAAAATCAACAATTTTGGCAAGGAAAGCATTGAGTCATTCATCACTGTTGACAATATTGTGTCCGCGCCTTTTCTTAGTCCTTCTAAAGAGGAAATAATCTTCTTAAGTCCGGACTTAGCGTAGATTATAACCGCTCCCCACCCTACCAGAATATTGTCGTGCTCGGGCTCTTACTTTACATTTTATCCTATTTCCTTCTTTACAATTTTATCGTTACACTTTCTTTTCTCTCTACCTGTCTCCCTTTTTCTCCTTTTTTTTGAGGGTCCTGAATTGCCGGAAGTGCTTTTAAGTTAATTCATGTCGCTGCTAGTCGAAAGAAATGTTCGTCGTCCTTCGTCCCGAGTTTGTTTTATACTTTCTGTGGTCAGGCAATTTCACCAACACGCTCTTCAGTTAATTTGAACGTGATCTAGTTTCCCGATTTAAAAACAATATTTTACAAAAGGTGGAAAATCCCGATTAAAAAGGTAAACATTGAGATAAACTTCAAAATTACGCTCTATTTGTTCTAATTGGGCAAGCATACACCCTCATACCGCGACGCCTATATTAACAATATAAAATTTCAAACAGATTTTGCAGAGTTAAAATTAGTGAATAAAAATAAAGCATCCTAAAGCTGGCTCCCATAAAATTTAAGCCTGAGACACTAATTTATCTGAACAATAATACATCTGCGTTGAATCTTTTGCAGGCGGAAGTATATTTCAGGGAACTTGAGTGCCCCAAGATAGAACTCTACCTTGTCGATGTGTACAATACGACGGTATGTGGTGTCGGTTTCAAATGATATTCAAATATATTTTCAAATGTATATTCTTGCATTTCTTTAAGTGACCAGCTACCACCACGCGTAATGTGAGCTGAAACAGTCGTTTAATGCTTTTTGGTTTATCTGCCCACTTTTGAAAGCTGTGGTTGAAACCAGGCATACAATGCGAAGTTGAATTATTAACCTTCGGGTTATTCAACAAGTTCAGAAAATGTTAAGCTTGTGGGGTTCGCTGACGCAGAAAACGTCCGTATCGGGTGTTTCAGCTCTAATTGCCCGCGGGGGGGGGGGGGGGGGGGGGGCGGTAATTTAGATTAGCTCATTAGCTTTCGTATTCCCTATTGATTTATTGTTTTCTAAAGTCCTGCACAATTCTTAGCTCAAAGTTAACGCAAGGCAGGTCTACCGGTTAACGTCACAACCAATAAAGAAAAGCATCATCTAATAAACAAAATGTACCGAATGCCTACAGTCGCTACTGACATTTTGCACGAGACGTGACTTGTTTAGGGACGAGTATGTCATTCGCACCTAACGTTGGTAAATGATTAGTAAGGTCAAAATTGGCATATATTCTTATTGCTAGAATGCAGGTGGTAAACATCATAACTTTCCAGGAAATGTTTACCGTACTCTTATAGCCTTGCTCTAATTGCAATTTTGGTGTTGATTACCTTCGACGCGCTGTATGTTCTTCGACAAGGTCATTCTGAAAAGCAATTGTTCACTTAAAAAGCACTGAGATAAACAAAAAACAATAAAAAATTCCAGTAAAAAATGAAAGACGTTTACAACTTCCTGTATCGCCGATTTATAGCGGAGCTCTTGAGGAGGATGAGGGGAAAGAACCGAGGGGAGGGTATACCCCTACTCCTCATCCGTACCCTCTCCTTCTCCCCTATCTCTTTTTTCTCGCACGAAACGAGCGTCGTCACGCGACGTTTCGGTGCGGTGCCGGAACGTCACCGCAGTGCATTATGAGAAATGTCCTATAATGCACCGTGGTGACGTTTCGGCAGGGTGATGTTTCGGCACCGTGCCGAAACATCCGCACGGTGCATTATGGGAAACATCCCATAACACATCTTGGTGACGCTTAGGTACGGTGACGTTTTGGCACCATGCGAAACGTCACCGCGGTGCATTATGGGACGTTTTCCAGACTGTACCGTAGGGGTTGCGCAGACGGCGATGGCGATGCCGCTCAAGCCGCAACGGGTGCCTAAGAGCTGCGCTCTAAAATAATTTGCGCCATATTTAAGCCGGTAGAGGCAATTTATAGGGAGTTAGCCCTGCCCTAGGACCCGCCGATACGGGAAGTAAAGCAGCTACAATAGTCACACAATTCCCCGGCTTATACTCGAGCCAGTTTGGCGCAAGCTTCGGACAGGCTTGAGCCAATTTGGCTCTAGCTCGCGCCACTTGCTCAGCCCTAGCCTGAGCTGAGCAAGTGTGCTACTTTGGTAGCTACTCTACGCTTTTTTAGTCTCATTCGCTGGTGAGACGATAGTCTTGTGGAATGTTCGCCGTAACATTATTTTTCTCTGTCGTGGAAATGATTATTTCATGGTATTTTTATTATAGAGTAAGAAACAATACAGGGACATATATTTTATAGTTTCCAAATGATCATGACTTAACGTTCTCCACCTCGGTTTTTTACGATAACAAAGATGGCTTAAGGCTTTCGCGGTACGCAGTTGATACAGTGCGCAACTAGTTCGGCTGATATCTATGTTTATGAATATAGGTTGTTTCGCGTTCACTGAGATGTTAAGAAGGTCTCAACAGACGTAGCTTGGAGCAAAAAACTGTCGCAATACGCGCCTTCGAAGGCGTTATACGCGTGCTCATTTTCGTAGTGGGGCTGGCGTAAGCTTTGCGACTCATGATAAACAATTTTCTCCACCTGGAATTATTTGTTCATTCGCGTGTTTTGATGCTGAATAAGGGTGTCGGTTCCTGTAAAATCGACCTCCCTGATTTGAGAATCATGGAAACGCTGTGGTTGATATTAAGATTTGATAACTTAGAGCTAGGCTACAAAGAAAGTACTTTGCAAGTCATGTTGCCGGAAGCAGTTGGGTATTCGCGTCGCTTTAGGTTTTTCCAGGTACGTCTTCGTAATTTCGCTTGACAAGACCTATAGCTCTTTGATTCTGAAATGTGCACACTACTTGCTAGTGCAAATATTTGAGGTAATCTCTTAATAGACCGATCTCACGAAGCGTTCGGCACATGCGTGAAGCCGGCATAACTTCAGTTTACAGGAGACAGGCGGCAGAACCCGAGATATCTCATGCTCCGCACGCACAGAGCTACAGCGAGGTTGTGGCACGTGGAGAAAGACTAAGGTTCCCTCGAGGCATTGCGGCCACGGTGACGTACACAAACTGGTTGGTGAAATCGGACTATTGCTCGTTTTGACACTCACCAACCTTTCTCGCGAACGCTGTGCACGAAAACAACGATCAGAAAGAAGTTTAAAGGATCGCATATTTATTTTGCCGATTTATTTTAGACCGCAGCTCTCAGGCACCGCTTTCCGTGTTGAGCGGCGTCGCCGTCGGTGTAACCGCGCGCGTTGCATTATGGGACATCACAGTTTCTCCTTTCAAATTAGCGGAATAACTTAACTCGCTAAATGTAGCGAGGCAAATTTCCCCTCTAAACTTAGCGGGAAACTTAGCAAAAAATTACCCGCTAAACTTAGCGGTTGAAATTCAACGCCAAATTTAGCGAGTTAGGTTTTCCCACTAAATCTAGCGGGGAAATTTTGCGGAAATTTCCCACTAAATGGGAAGCCAGGAGGAGAGGAGATCAGGAGAAGGAGTGGGTACGGAGGGGTCGAAGAGGCATACACCCCCTCCTCCTCCTCAAGAGCTGCGTTCCAATTTCGAATTACAACAAGTTGTAAAGGTCTTTCAGTTTTTTTTTTTTTTTGTCCTTTCTGTCGTTGTTTAGCAAACGTGTACAGACACTGACAGACGCTAGTATTGAACTCTGGATCATGCATGATGGAACGCCAGAACGCCGCTTTTATAGTCGCGTCTTGTGGGCATCCCAGACGGTAGTAGACGAGGGCGGAATATCAGGCGGACGCCCGCGATGATAGACGCTGATGCGGAGGTTTCATGAACACGCTTTGCGGGCGTTGCACAGAGTTACAGAGGGTGCAGGAAAGCAGAGGACGCCGGAGGCTGCCACGCGCCTGTTCGTACGACTATGAGGTGGTGACAGACGCCAGACTAGATGCACCATACGTCGCGACTTGGAGGTACTAAGATCGTCAAGATGTTCGCCCGAGCAGCCAAGCGAGAAGCAATGGGAAGGACCACCTATCTGTGGACTAGGCTTAGAGGGAGTTACGACCTCCGCCTGAAATAAGTGTTGAGGTGTAAATATCGCGCAAGAAATGGTAGAAACTTTTTATTTGTGTTATACCAATCCCATCTGTGGCGTCCAAAAACCAGATGGCGCCACATCCCCGCTGTCCGGTATGCGTTAGAAGAGCCCCAAAGCCGAGGGGGTGACGGAACGGGAGAATGCGTGGCGGTGCGTCCGGGGACAGACGCGGGAGGCTTACGATGTGAAATAAAGTAATGAGTTTTCGTTCGTTACCTGGTCGTCTCCCTCGGCAACACACAAACGACACTACAAGTCTGGCGACGAGAATGGGATGCCGGGGAAGACCGCAACAAGATCCAGCTCGACAGAACGTTTAGAGAAGACGCCAAAAGAGACCCGAGAGCAAGACCTCAAGACCACGCCTGTCGAGAACTGAACGAAGAAGTTGCCCTAGATCCAGGTAAGCAGTCGCCATAGACCTTCGCGTCCCGAGCATTCCTCCGTTCGATTCGCATGCTGCTCCAACTTCTGTGTCTCGGCGCTGGATGCGATGGCATGCAAGATTCGAGAATTATCTCATTTCCTCCCACGTCACGAACGACGAAAGAAAGCGTGCACTGTTGCTGCACCTCGCGGGAAAAGCAGTTCACGACATTTTCATCACACTCCCGAACACGGGCACTCTTTACAAGACCGCGGTCGAGGAACTGAAAGCTGAATTCGCGCCAAAGAAAAACGCAGTTTTTGAGAGACATGTGTTTCGGCAAGCGAACCAAGAGCCGGCAGAGACTATCGACCAGTTTCATGTGCGTCTCCGGCAACTAGCCCTAACGTGTGAGTTTGCCGACGTGGACGGAGAAGTCCTGTCACAAATTATAAAAGGCACCACGCCGACGAAGCTGAGAAGAAACGACCTCCGTGAACCGGACATGAAGCTGGAGCGGCTATTGCTCGAAGGGCGCAGCCTCGAAAACGCCGAGAGACAAGCCGCCGACATAGAGAGAAAAGTGTCAGTGCCGGTGAACAAAGTATCACCAAAGAAGAAACCGTGGCACCGGAAAACACAGAAAAAAGAAGTCCCCCAGACGACGACATGCACGTGTTGCCGGAGATGTTGGCCAAACGACGGAGGCAAAACGTGTCCAGCATGGGGATCAACTTGCCACAATTGCAACAAAAGAAACCACTTCGCCAAAATGTGCAGAACGCGCAAACAAGAGCAAGTCAGAACAGTTCAAGAACTGGAAGCAACTCGGAGCGAAGACGTTTCCGAAGAACTGTACTACGTGCAGCAGAAACACTCCAAGATCCCCGTGTGACTGTAAGAATAGAAGGAGTCGAGATCGAAGTCTATGTGGACTCAGGAGCTGGAGATGACGTAATGGGAGAAACAACTTGGAGGGACAAGCTTAAATACACTTTGGAAAAGACCGATATCCGCCTAGTGCCTTATGGAATGAAGCAACCTCTTCCAGTGGTTGGGCTGTTCAAAGCAAATATGAAAGCTCGAAAGAACACCACCCACACGATTGTATACGTCATCAAGGCGCATCATGCATCCCTTCTGAGTTACCAGACAGAAACAAGTTTGGGTCTCTCATTCATGTGCTGAATAGCATTGAAGAAAAGTCCCAAGGTGATCCTGT